TGACACAGGCACAGTTTCTTGCATAGGCTCTTCAGAGGTTTAGCATCCTGATTTTTGGCAAGGAATTATGTATGTAGGTCCTTCCCCAGAAACATGGCTGCTGATAAGGCTGAGAGAAGGCTATTGAGTTCCTTTACTTACTTTTTATACTACACTGATGCTGCTTGATAGACGTCTGTGGCTTTGTCAGATGTGTCATACCAGTAAATGCTTTGTAGATTGGATTAAAATGAAAGTTCACTTGGAAAACACTGCAATGTTATGTAATGACCTTGCTATGAGTATAAAAGTCAGAGGCATGTTAGTTTATTAAATTTGCACTATCAAAGTACTTGATTAAAATAGATATTTAGTTTCTGGTTTGTTTGTTGGTTTCTTAGAAAGGGTCCTTTCTTTGTATCCCAGACTTGCCTGGAACTTAAATCTTGCCTTAGCTTCCAAGTACTGAAATGTAAGTCTGGGACACCATACCTAGTTTCTCAAGGCTCCTTGAGAAATGAGGTTTGATCAGTATTTGCTTGTTTGGAGAGTCGAGTGTCAATCGGACTTTTCAGGCAGATGCTTCGCTTCTCTTCTGACACTTACGATTTGACTAGTAAGTTAAGTCTTATGTTCATTTAGAAACTAGCCCTAATATTGTCACTAAAGAAAGACCAAAGTAAGAGGTAGTTAAAGCACTGTCAAAGAAGACATTCCTGAAAAGCAGTCCATGAGAAGGAATAATAAAGCAGGCTTTTTAATAGAAACTGGCTGAGTGTTTGGTCTGCACTACGCTCTGTAGGGGTGAAGACACAACAGACACACATTCTTCCATCTTGGGGTAAGTTAAATGAAAATGAGCTGACCAGCATGGATAATTAGTGCTGAAAACTCATGAGAAGAGGTCTCTGGATAGAGGCTAGTACAGTGGACTTCCTAGAGAGAGTATCCTTAGGATTTGTAACTTTGGTTCATTCCAGATACCGGGGCAATTCATCTGAGATTTGAAATTAGAGAAGTAAAGAAGGTTTGGAGAGAAAATGACAGCTTAGACCGTTTCCACATTAGTGTTTAAGTGGATAGGAGACATTGATTTCTGGGAGATTCTGGTTTAATCTGTGTAAATAGGTTCTATTTGGGACCCTGGTTGTATCAAAGGATGGAGTGGTCCCTTCAAATGATGACTAGGTTTGGGAGTCAGACCTTCTGAGTCTTTGTCTGAGCTGTGCTATTGTCTAGCTATTGACTGGCCATCTAATGCTTACTGAGTACATACTGTGCTTAAGACTTTAAGCACACTGGTCTGAGCCTCAGTATCAGTACACACGATTGATGATAAAGTTATCTCATAGAGTGAACCTATTTTAAGCACTTCTGACAGTAAGTGCCAGTGTCACTATGGATAAAAACAAGACTAGATAATACTCAAAATACCAGAGATGTTCAGAATCTAATAGAGGTGGTTTGAGGTGGTTTCAGAGAGTGAAACAGCTGAGTAGAGTTGGGAGGCTAGGGGAGCTGGGTTTGACAGGAGTTACTGGAATTACTCTCCTATCGATTCATGTGGAAATCAAGTTACAAGGATTTGTGGGCAGATAGGCTTGGCCCTTGATCTTAACTGTAAGGCAGATTCCCTGCTCTTAACAATGCGGGGAGTCAGTCAGACATTTAAAGACCCTAAATTTCAAAACATAGTTCCCCATTCTTTGCCTTATATGATTCAAAATAATGTAATAAAGTCCAATAAAGGGTTTTTTCCCACCATGATAATTTTGAGATTAATTTGAAATAACAAGTTCTCTTTAAAAGAGAGCAGTTCCACCTTTGCTTGGCTGCACTCTAAGAATGAGTTAAGTCTGGCTGTTAACATGAAACATCCCTTCAAGATACAAATGCAGAACTGGACACGAGCATGCAGAATGCCAGCATTTTCAGTAAGCCTAAAGTCATACTTGACAACAGGACATTGTTTTGAATCATCCCATTCCAGATGAGTCCACCTGATCCTTCAGCACACCCCTGTCTGCAGATTGAGGGCCCTGACTCAGCAATCAGTGGCACATCCTAGGGATTTATCAAAGGCAACAGCAGAGGCTGCCATTTCAGCCTAGCTACAACTGGGAGAAAGCTAGTTGGCTCAGCTTGAATTAGTTTACTTTCTAGTTTAGCAGTTCTCAACCTGTGGGTCATGACCCCTTTTGGGAGGGGTGTTGAACAGCCCTTTCACAGGGATTGCCTAAAACCATTGGAAAATATTTACATTGTGATTCATAACAGCAAAATTACAGTTAGGAAGTAGCAACAAAAGTAATTTTATGGTGGGGGGGGGACCTGTATTAACGGGGCAGGGCATCAGGAGGGTTGACAACCACTGCTCTAGGTCAGTCTGTTTGGAGACAGGGTCTTGCTCTAGGCTGCGCTGGCTCAAGACTCTGTAGGCTGGGCTGGCTCTGCAGTTTCAGGAGTCCTGCCCCCCCTCTGCTCACTAAACACTGAGGTGGACTATAGGCAGTAGCCACCATGCCAAAAGCACTGCCAAAAATGGCCTTGGAAGCCAGGGATGGTAGTGCATGTCTGTAATCCCTGTACTCAGAATGCTGAGGCAGGAAGATCACAAGCCCTAGGCCTGCCTTGGCTATAGGTCACGTTTTAGTCTGAGCAACATAGGGAGACCTTGCCTTAAAAGGTAAAAATAAAGTATTTCCTATATGCCCAAAGCCTTGGGTTTACTCTTTAGCAGTTGCCCTGCCCCCAAAGGTCATGTAAATAGCTACATTTGCAGTGATTTAACAATGTCTGCTGCTGTGATTGGTTTCCTCCCTTTCTCTCTTTAAAGTTTAAACTTTAAAGTTTAGAAGGTGATCTGCCCAAGGTTACCCAGGAAATGGCAAAGCAGAGAGAAACCTTGAGCTTGGCTTAAAGGTAGACCTCATTCATTGTTCCTGGATCCATCAAGGTATAGGAGACAGAATGGAAAGGGGGCACACAGGGAGAGACTGCTCACCATGCCCACATCACCTGAGTAGGCATTAGTATCTTTTCCTTTGAGACTGGCTGGACTCGAACTGGCTATATAGACCAAGCCGGCCTCAAACTCTGTTCTGCCTGCCTCCTGAGTGCTCCGCTTAAAGAGATATGACCTGGCTTTTTTTTTTTTTTTTTTTGAGATGATCCCTCTGTATAGGCCTGGTTGTCCTGGAACTCAGATCTGCCTGCCTCTGCCCTAGTATTGGGGGATTAAAGGTATGCACAACCACTGCCCAGCAGGACATGAACATTTATTTATTTATTTATTTTAAATCCTCTAAGGAGAGTGATGCCCTAAAAGGTATTATTACTACCTTTTCCCCGTTATGGTGCTGAGGATCAAATCCATGTTTTCTTTTGTTTGTTTTTTTTTGTTTTGTTTTTTGTTTTTGCATGCTGCTCATCTGCCCCATCTCTAAGCCACAGCCCTAGCCTACTTACCAACCTTAAATCCAAGCACATAAAACTCTTATATCCACTGACTGTGGCAATGGCTCAACCAGCGCTATGTGCTTAGGAAGCCTGGAAAAGTTCTGCCTGAGACCTGGGAGAAGTACTGATCCTCACAAGTACCTTAAAGTGGAGATAATTGTCAGACTGTTTTCATCCTAGAGTGAGAAACAGACTTGCAGAAAGACTCACCTGGAGAGCTTGCTCCAACACTGCAGCATGTACATTTACTTGTTGCATCACTAAAGGGCAGCAGTAAGCCTGCATCCTGTGCTAGTTTCTCAGCTGACTCTGCCAGCCAGACTGGCTGCTGTCTGCTCTATAAGCAAACAGCAGGTAGCAGCTTAGTGTGGGTGGCATTAGCCCCATCCCAGTGTCCCCTATAGCCTGGACCTGTGTATAGGTGCTTCTGGGTGAAAATGTTAAATGAGGTTTCAGTCTCAGAAAAAAAATGTGTGTGTGTGTGTGTGGAGGGGGGGGGATAGGGGTGGGAGTGGAACTGAGCTCAAGCCTCTACAGAGGAACAAAATTTTTGCCAGGCGGTGGTGGTGCAAGCCTTTAGTCCCAGCACTTGGGAGGCAGAGACAGGGGGATCTCTGTAAGTGTGAGGCCAGCCTGGTCTGCAGAGGGAGTTCCAAGACCGTCTCCAAAGCTAGAGAAACCCTGTATCTTTGAAATCCCCCCCCCCCCCAAAAAAGGGGTCTCTCACTTCTTTTTTTTTTTTTCTTCTAAGACAGGGTTTCTCTGTGTAACAATAGCTGTTCTAGAACTGGCCTTGAACTCTCAGAGATCCTCTGCCTCCCGAATGCTGGGATTAAAGGCATGCACCACCACTCTGGTGCTATTTAGCCTTTTGACTAAGATGAAGTGGAGAGATGGGGGCTGGTGATGTTGTTCAAGCTGACCCCAAACTTCAGCCTCAGCTTCTAGAACAGCAGGGATTTAACAGCCATGTGTCACTTCATTTGGCTCACTGTTTCTCTGAAAGATTCCCATTCCATTCTCATAGGGCTTGGTTATGTGATTGTTAAGAGTGAGCAATGTGTGCCACTAAACACCACCCATCATGTCCTCCTGATACAAGATCATTGGACGGCCTGGCTTTGAGTGTCTTTGGCAAGCTAATTAACAATTTTGGGCCATTTTCCTCACAGGGGCAACACATTTCATTCATGAAGATTTAAATGAAATATTGTACTCTGGGTACTTGGTCCATCTGTCCATGCCACAGGTGCTCTTTAGGAATCATTAGATGTCATTGGAAGGATTCAGGGTCAGTCCAGAGAAACATCTCAAGTCTTGGGTCCTGAAAAATATATGCTTCCACCACTGTGTGGAGCTAAATCCATTTTTCTTTATACACAGATAGTGTGTTCTAAGTGCTCATGCTCAGTGGCAGCCAGTGCCTGCCACAGTGCCCCTCCGAAGCTCATCTAGAGGGCAGGAGGCTATACTTGGGCCCATGGTTAGGAAACCTGTGTCTATCTAGGTTACCAGGACTACATCCAGGTTTTGTCTCAAGAAACAAAACCACGATCACATACTTAGCCTTACAGAGATTTTTATTGTTGGAGATCCAGTCATGCATACTAAAATTACATTATTTCACCACTTAGAAAAATGCCCTAGAAAAATAAACTTTTGGTCAAAATGAACACTGAAGTAGATGAATCCACCACATGTGCCTCTACTAAAAGCCAAACTGAATTTCAGTTTGAAGTAAGGAATGTGACCAGGGGCTAAAACAGTGGCCTAGACTGCTCAGGGAAACAGCCCCATTTCCACCTGTCAGAAGGCTGTCCAAGGTCTTGGCCACTGAGAAGTTTCAAGTATTTTACCTGTTGAGTTCCTGTGTACTATGTCAAGAAGCTGAGGCACATCCGGGAGACTAAAGCAGCCACCACTTAACTGCCTGATGGAAAAGCCTCCAGTGAGATTGAAAACACACAGGACCCCAGGTAATTGAAAACCAGTAAACGTGTGGTCCTCTCTAGCTGCAAATTACACGGGGCCTTCCTGTGGAGCAAGCTCCCATGGAGAAGTATTTGGTCGTGCTTTTTGCATTTGAAGCTGAGCATTTGAGTCAGGAGAGCAGAAAAATTTGCTTGACATTTAACAAAGTGAACAGATGGCAATACTGAGACACCTTAGCAAGATAGCTGGCTGTCCTGAGCAGCCCATTGGTGTTGCAGCCTGGCATGACCATCGGAGAGCTACACTTGCATCAACTGAGTTAATGTTTTCCTTCCTAAAGGAGATTTTACAGGAAAACCTGAAGTGCATGACTTCAAGGTGAGGTATTGTCATAATGCTACAACAGCAGTGTGGCTGTTACTGCACAAATGAAAAAGCAATTTTCATGAATGACCGGAAGGATGACATGATTTCTGCCTAAACTGCCTGCTGGATACTAAAGCTGTCTCAGATAGTCAGAGGAATGCCTGCATTTCTGAAGAAACTGCCTTGTAACTTGAGGTGCTTACAAACCTAGGATGAGGCTGGGTGGTGGTGGTGCATGCCCCCTAGCACTTTGGAAGGCAGAGACAGGCAGATCTCTGAGTTTGAGACCAGCCTGCTCTACAAGAGCTAGTTCCAGGACAGCCTCCAAAGCCACTGAGAAACCCTTTCTCGGAAAACAAAAACAAAAACAAAAAAACCCAAAAACAACAACAACAACAACAACAAAAAAAACCTAGGATGAAATCTGAATGCTCTAAACCCCTCCTATGCCCAGAGAAAGCCAAGGTCTGAAGCCAACACTTCTGGCTGTTTCTGTAGATTTTATCTGTATTCCTCCCTCCATGAAGGAACTATAGGTTTCAGGGAACTGAATTTAGTGGAAGTCTGTAGCGAACTTGATCAGGAGAAGAAAATGCCCAGATTCCTAAACTAGCATATTTCAGCAACAATTCACTTGACCTACATTCTTAAATAACCTTGCTTTTAGAAAGCAAGAAGAGTGTCCTTATGGCCAGAGAGCCAATTAGGAACAGGATTCAGAGTTCAGCATACAAGCCTCTTTCTCCAGTGATCAAGGGTGTCAAGTGGCACATTCAAGGCCATGGAGGAAGATAAAGCTGGAACCCACTTCTATTTCACTATCGCTTTTTTCCCAACACCATACAACCTTGAATTTTAGGAAAAGTTCATTTTGCTGTCTGTGAAATGGGTAGAGCTTTTCCCTAAAGTCAGATACTCCTGAGTTCTTGCTCATCTGCTGCCTCCACCAATGTACTCCCCTCCTCTTGAGGCTCTGCTGCACCCCTGCTGCTCAGCCCAGGAACTGCTTTATTGTGCACCAGCAGGTCCTGGTCTCAGCCTGCTTCAAACTGGAGGTGCCAAAACTGACCTTTTAGAGTCAGCAAGCAGAACAGCTTGTGGGGACAGCAGACCCAGGCTCTCAGAGGCTTGATGGGAACAGCTCCCCCTTGGCCTAACCAGAAAAGTTTGGTAAACAAGCACACAAAGGACTAGCTAGTCACATGACAAGATTTAGACCAGAGAGCCTGGCGGGGCTGAGAAATTAATCTTTCCCTTTGTCTATGTTTTCCTTGTGCTCTCTTCCCCCTTAGGACCTAAGTAAGCTTCTAATAGATTCTCTCACCCAGATTGCTGGGTTCGGAGCCATCACGGGTCTTTTCAGGTGTGTGGGTGGCCATCTTTTTAGGCAGAAAACCTGGCAGGAGCTAAAGCAAATAGCAGAGTCTATGGTCAATAGACCATAGTCTCTGGGCAGTCAAGAGGGGCGTGTTTTGGCACTTAAGCTTAGTCAAGACCTAGAAGATCAAGGATTAGCATCTACGGTGAAAAGAATGTCCCCCATAATTGGCATCTTTATGTTAAGTTTCCATTAAGAACTTCTGTAGATGTTTTAGGAAATTTAGTAACAATCGACTGACCTTTGAGTCTCAAGGCCATGCCTGTAAGCTGTATGGAAAGCCTGCTTAGTCTAGTAAATACACAACCAACAGCATGTAACACTATTTAACATCATAATTCACGATGAATACCAAAAGAAACAGGTCAAAATCCAGGAGATAAATTACTTCACTCAATGCTTGGGTTAAGGCTAAAATCTTGATAGGTGTCTAAAGTGCCTAAATGCAAAACTAATGTTCTAGCCAACTGGTCCTTCCACAATAGATAAACACTTGGCAGGGCCTCTAGGCAAACCAGCAATAACCTGCTCCAGTGTGTTTCCACACACAAAAATAGAAGAAGCCCAAATCTGGCAAATTACTCTGGCTGTTTCTACTACTAGTGTCTCCAAGGTGGAAGGAGTTTGTACAAGATTTGGCCAGCCTCACGAAAGCCATCCCTTTCAAGTTTACCCATCATTCTGCAAAGGCAGTTGGTTACCACCAAAGGCCTGGCCAAATGGTGACACTGCTTTACATAAGGCTTGGGTATGTACCACAAAAAAAAACAAAAAAAAACAAAACAAGAGCCAACTACCTCTACACAGCCATCTTTCCAAGCAGGAACCCTGACAACTTCAGCAGTCCCAATAACCCCCATTCCATGTAGCTTCACCTTGGAGATGACAAAGCTGAGGTCCGTGTCTTGTCCAGTCACACACCTGACTCCTTAGCCACACAGTCAGTCCTAGAATCCAGGATTTTGTGCTGACCTGTATGATCTCATGACGAACAGAGCTAAGGCTTTATGGGTTTGGGAAAAGTTTCTATTGCAAGATTCAACCTTGGAATCCCAGGGATGCTCTGAAGCACTGGGCTTCCAAATCTTATCTTTAAGCACTGCTTGGGTCCTGGCATTTCTACTGCTCAGTTTACAGTGCTTTCCAGGCCCAGTGATGACAACAGGGGCCTGAACCTTGCACTTTGCTGATGAGCAACAGAGGTCAACACCTACAGCTATTGGGAAAGAGACTCTCAACAGTTTCATATGGGGCCACTTTTCAGGATTGGCAGATTGCTTCAGAGTTGTGACCAAATTGCTTCAGACTTGTGATCAATCCAGTTGTCTTCTCATAGTCACTTTAGGTGACTGACCCTGGTTGCTACCAAGATACAGATACAGACAGCTTATCCAGACTAGCAGTTGCAAACATTTGCGATTCACTGGGACAGTTTCCTTGTCTTCCCTGGAATAATCCAGGTAGCCAAAGGTCTGCCTGTGATGGGCTCACCCTTGAATCTCCCTAGGCAGCCCCATCACTGCGTAATGATGGAGCAAGACTGAGGCACTGGCATCCTAAGCCTGTGTATTTCTAAGGAATGAAGGAATTATAAATGGTGACTCCCAGAAGAGTGCTAATAGCAGGAGGAGAGCTGGGACTTCATGGCTCGCATGGAGTCATCACACTGTACATCTGAGATCAGTCCTTCAGATAGCAGTGGCTGGTCCAGGAGACTGTCACAGGCAGGCACAGGCTGGCAGAACTCTTTTACAAAGTCCTCCTCTGATGCCAATAGTATCTCATTCCAGGTGGCAGTGTCTAGCTCTCCAGCTGTGCCCCCATACTCCTTGGGGAGGATATTCCTTGGGAGGTTTGTGTGCAGAGAGTTCAGGTCAGACCCGTGGAGAAAGAACTGAAACAGAACAGTACAAAAAGCATAGACTCAGCAGTTGTGATCACGGGCACAAGACTGCATCTTTCAACATTCCATCATGGTGTTGGGGGCAGGACCACTCACTCCTTCTTTAAGGATCTATAGGCAGCTAATGTTTGCTGGGGGGAGGGGGAATTTTCTTCAGTGTTATAGCCACATGTAAGTGTCCATGTTCCTGTAAATGGCCCTTTATTCATGACCTTGTAAGTAACCCTAAATAGACTCTATCACCAAAACAGACAAAAAAAGACAAGAAGGAAGAAGGGGAACTACTTGAAAGGAAGATGAACAATGGGAGGGGGAGGGGGACAAGAGGGTAATGGGGGATGAAAATGCCATAATGAAACCTGGGTTTGGTTCACAGCACTCCCATCAGGTGGCTCAAAACAGCTTGTAACTCCAGTTCCAGACATCACACACACACACACACACACACACACACACACACACACACACACATACTTTAAGATTAAAAGATCTTTAAAACAAAAGAAAAAGTGTGAACCTGTAAACCCAGCCTTTGGAGTGACCTCAGTGTCTCTGGGTGCAAGGAAGGAAGATAAAATTGTCATTACCACATTTGCATCAGTGGCCCTGAGAAAGATGAAAAGAGGAGGGCCTTTTGTGGGTCAGAAAGGGGGACCCTTTTTTAAGTGTCATCTAGGGTTGGCTGTGTAACTTAGTGGTACAGCACTTATTTAGCATGCATGAAGTTCTGAGTTATGGATGATCAATCCACCTGCTTGGTGACCCATTCCTCCCCTTTCCTAGACCCTCTTACACATAAAATGCAATGTTGGTTCACAATGTCTAAGCCAGGAGACCAGGAAGTCTGAATAGATTACAGAACAGGGAGGGAGCTTATGATAAAAATCCCACCATTCAGCCTGGGCTACAAGAGGCCCAGTAGTAATGCAACACCCTCGTCCTATACTCATTATTGGCAAACAATGTATTCTTACGAGTTCCATCTTCCCCTCATAAAAAGGATGGACCATGTTAAGTGCCTTATACTTCCAAATTAGTTTCTGAACAAAAATAATGATGTTCTAGGTGTCACAATAAATCAAGTGAGAAAAAAAAAAGGGAGATTTTAAAAAGTATCAAGCTCAAAGGAAATCACTCACCCTGTTTGCTATTTTCTCCTTCAGAAATGGTTTTATAATGGCAAAAATGCCTTTAAATATCCGAGGTTCATTCACTACATGGACTGCTTTTATCCGAATGGGAAAGCCATCCTGTGGGTCAAAGAAATGCCATGTTAGAGCATGGGCAGTATCTCAGTACCGGCCCCTCTGCGGCTGCCCTTCCCCTCTAAACCATAAGAAGCACAGGCAGTCTGCTCTGACTCTCACAGCTGCCTCAGAGACAGCCTAGTGTCAACAAATAAGACAGGTTTTGAGGAAGTCTGGGTCAGAAGACTAGGCAAAGGTGGCAGGTGGAGGGCGGCTACTCTAGCAGGAAGCTGCAGTCTACCATGACAGAGAAAGAGCTGGAAAACATCAGACCTTCCAGGTCAGAGCTGCCCAATTGCACTTTGCAGGGTGTACCAGACATGATGTGAAGCAGGCCTGCTTGGGAAATACGTGAGCCAGAGGAATACACTGGCTCACATAGTCATACAGGTTTCCTTAGCCTGGCTTGGTGGTTCAGGCCTGTAATCATAGGTATTTGGGAAGCTGAGGTAGGAGGACTGTGAGTTCAAGGCCTGTCTGAGTTATAGAGTATGGTGTCTGAATGAGATGTTCCCCCACAGGCTTGGGTATCTGAACACTTGGTGGCACGGTTTGGGAAGCTGAGGAAGAGTGGCCCTCTAGAGGAAGAGCACATAGCCCCTCACTAGTTTTAGTGCTCTCTGCTTTGTGCTTGCTGTTGAAGGTGTGAGCTTTCAGCTTCCTTCCTGCCACCATGCTTGACTCTTCATATCATGCTCCCCTGCCATGACAGACTCTTATTTCCCAGAACCATACACAAAATAAACTTCTTTTTCTGTAAGTTGCCTTATCACAGCAACAAAAAAGTAACTAATATACATAGTACTTTCAAGGTCAGCCTGGGCCACTCGGGATACCCTATCTCAAAATATGAAGTGGGTTTGTTTTATTTTGTCTTGTTTTGTTTGTTTGGGTTTTCAAAACCGGGTTTCTTTGTGAAATAGCCCTGGCTGTCCTGGAACTCACTCTGTAAGCCAGGCTGGCTTTGAACTCAGAAATCTGCCTCTGCCTCTGACTTGCTGGGATTACAGGTGTGCCCCACCACTGCCCTGCTATAAAAACTGTTTTTTAAAAAGAGCTGGGATTGTAGCTTAATGGTAGAGCCTTGCCTAACATGCAGGGCTCTAGGTTCAATCTCCAGATCCATTTAAATAATCGGGGGTATGTCTTTAAGTGCAGTTCTGTTCACAGGCCTTAATACACTGATGTTTACAGTGACATTCACAAGAAGGGGACACATTACATCACAGTTCCCAAACTTACTTAACTCTGGAATTTTGGTCCCTTCTGGGTGATATTACATTACTAGAAAAATACAGATCCAAACCCAACATTGTGTGGATGTGTTATGTGTCATACACTGTGTCTATGTGTTATTCAGCAGGAGCCATAAGCCAGGATCTGGAAGAATGGCTCAGCACCTGAGCACTGCTGCTCTTCCAGAGGACCTGGGTTTGAGTATCAGCACCCACACGTCAACTTACAACAGTCTGTAACCCTAGTCCCAGGGAATCTAATGCTTTCTGGCCTCCTGGAATACCAAGCACATACGTACAGATATATATGCAGGCAAAATACCCATACACATAAAATAATTAAAAACAAAACAAAACATTAAGCCAGGGATGTATGTCAGTGGTAGAGTGTCTGCCTAATATACATGAGGTCTTGAGTTCTCTTCCCAGCACAAGAAAATAAAAATAGTAGAAGCTAAGGAAAATCAGACTTGATGGAGCTGTGCATGGTGGCAGAAGCAGGAGGACTGGGTAAACCTTTGGCTACATGCCAAGTTTGAGGCCTGCCTGGAGCACATGAGAGTCTGTCTGAGAAAACAAGGCAAAATAAAATGATGATCAACACTGAAACAGTCTGCTTAAATAAGTCAATTCACAGCAAGGGCTTGGACGTCTGTGGACCCCAGGGAAGGGCAGTTGTTCCACTGGCACTTCACAGCTCACAGGAGGCAGCACCCAAGGGGCATGTCAATGAACAAGAGCTCAACTTTTTATCTGTGACACGTGGAGTAGACCATGTGTTCTTTAGGTCTCTGTTACCCCATCTATCAAAAAGGAAAACGAATTCCTGCCTCTCTCAGAGTGTTCCCAGAAGGACTGAACTGTAATGACAGGGCTTTGTGAACCATTAAGAACACAGAGGTGGGCTGGAGAGATGACTCGGTGGTTAAGAGCACTAACTGTTCTTCCAGAGGTCCTGAGTTCAATTCCCAGAAACCACATGGTGGCTCACAACCACCTTGAATGAGATCTGGTGCTGCCCTCTGCTGGCATGCATTAACAAATAAATAATATGTTAAAAAAAAAAAAAGAACAGAGAGGTACCTCCCCACAGGTACCTTCGGAATCATGGCAGAGGACTGTAGATTGTTTCCACTGCAGTGGGAAGTAGGGTTTGTATAGTCCCCATTATGACAGGAGCAAGTGGGCAGGCTGTGAGGAAAGAAAGTAACCATAGAATGGGTACACCGTGAACAGGGGCCATACCTGAAGGATGCCAATCACCTTTTTGGCTATAAAAGGGCCGAAATGAGATGCTTTTGATAAGCTCACGCCTTTGTAGTCTGCAAGAATTACAATTCCGTTCACTTGTGTCTCTTCGGACTGGATGAGTTTTTCTAATGTCAAGTATATGGCTCGAATATTCTCAGTGATTGGGTAGTTGCTCGGAATCCATCTGTCTGAGGTCACAAGGATAGACAGAGTTACGGAATGAATACAAACAAGTGCTCAGAAAAAGATGCATCTTCTAAAACCTTGGCTTTGCAATGGAAGAAAAAGATATTCTTGTCACTAAGATCCTGCCCAGCAGCTGTTTTCTAGACCCCAAACCCAGCAGAACATCTGCAGATGAAAACACAGCTGAGGTTAAAAGTGTGAGCTCTGAAGCCAGACATGCTACCCTTGGACTTTTACGAGCTGTGCAACCTTGGGCAAGATGCTTCAGCATTCTAACCCCCCTCTTTTTTTTGGGGGGGGGAGTTGTTTCAAGACAGGGTTTCTCTATGTAGCCCTGGCTGTCCTGAAACTCACTCTTTAGACCAGGCTGGCCTCCAACTCATAGAGATCCGATTGCTTCTGCCTCCCAAGTGTTGGGATTAAAGGTGTGCCACCACTGAGCCTGTCTCTTAAGTAAACAGGGTGAACACCTACCTTCTTGGCCACCGCTGCTTCCTGCCATCAAGTGTCATTACACCACCACCTGATTTTCCATTCTGGCCACACAGGTTGCACAGAACTGACTGGCCAATCTGGTAGACATCCTAGTCATAGCATGATGTGCTCTAAACCAGGTGACCCAGAGCCAGATTCCATCTAGGGTATGGTTCTTGGGAAAGGGAAGATCACTCATCCCTCTTATAGCAGTAAAGCTGTAAGCCTGAGGTCCAGGGGCTCATGAGACCAGAGCTGGTCTGAGAATGAAGCCCATGCCAAGGCGGGCAGAGATGGAATCACCTCTCTAGTTGCCCCTCACCCCCAAATCTAACTGAACCTAGATGTCACCTGAGTTGTTTCAACTGACTGCAGTGGGCTTTTGGTCATTTGTCATCTAAACAGTGAGTAGTCCTAACTCACAAATACCTGCAGGGTGTTACAGAATGGAGCACAGATATGTTTCATGAGGCCTTTCCTCAAATTCCTCCTTGCAGGATGGATACTTCATTAATTTTGCATCTTTAATGAGGCCTCTCTTTGGGAAAAGGATAAAAATGACAATGGTATTTTTGATTGTTAATCCCTATTCTTTTTCTTCTTACTACTTTTTTGGGGGGAGACAGGGGTGAGGGGGGTTGAGACAGAGTCACTCTGTATTCTAGGCTGACCCTGAATTTTCAGGGGTCCTCTTGAGTGTTGGGATATAAGCAAAGGTTGCCATGCCCAGCTGGAAACCAAGACCTTCCGTCCCATGAGATACAGAGACAAAGACATAAAGACACAGCTCACTTGGGTCTGGGCTCACACCTGTAATCTCAGCCCTTGGGAGGTGGTGGTGGTGAGAACAGGAGTCCAAGGTCATCTTCAGCTACACAGAAAGTCCAAGGCCAGCCTGGGCTACATGAGACAGGTCTCAAAAACAAAAACCCCTCCCAAATGCTGGGGAAGTGGAGTCATAGTCTTCTGTGGTAAAATCCTCTTGCTCAGGTAAATAACTCCCATCCTAAGCACTAGAAGCAACCCTAATTAAATGAAGTGGGTCACTCCCCACCCACCCATTCCCTGTAAGGGGTGACACAGGACATGAACACTGGGGGATTTCTTGGGGAAGAAAAAGGGTCTTGGGGATTCAGAGGGAAGCATGATGAAGGATAACGGGGATCACGAACAAAGTGATTGTGCGTGTGTGTGTATGAAATCAGGAGAGAATATATTAAAAAACAAAATTTCATTTTGCTCAAAATGGGATATGTACTGTGCACAAAATTATTTTTCACTATGTGTATATGATACATGTACCCATTTATGTGTAAGTGGATATGTGTGCCACAGAGCATGTATGGAGGTCAGAAGACAATCCTAGGTTGCCACTTTCCATTTTTACTTGGGTTCCAGAGATCAGAACACAGGCTTTTGGGGCAGGTGCTTTCACCTGCTGAGCCATCTCACTGGCCCTATACAAAATTCTCATAACTAATCTTTGCCAAACCTGATGATCAATGTTCATATGAATTAAGCCTGCCTCTATATAATTGGATATCTTCTTTTCAACTGCATACATCTCAAAAGAGATAAGAAAAAAGCCAAGTAAAACCCAGTTAGGAACACAACTTTGTAGGTATGCGTCTTCCTAAGAAGCTAGGTCAGCAGGGAGGGGCCAGATCTCACCCAAACACAAGGAGGAAATTTATCTTACAAGCACAACCACATGCCACGAGGAGGCAGAGCCAGCATGGTGACATCGGATCATCTGATAACACTTCTGAACTGAGTTCACAGTAGCAAGACAAAGCTTGCTGGCCGGTTTCTAGGTCTCTCGGTGCTCAGAAATCTGCACTGCTTATTTTAAAATAAACCTAATTTTGGAAAGTGCCTAGCACAGCAGGTGAAGCAGCTCCAGCTATGCCTGACACATGGCTCCGGGTGAAGAGAATGGTCTATACTGCAAAAACAGTTTGGTACAAGACTAGAAGTGGTGTGAGGCATCCAGGCAGAGGGAGAGACGGAGGCAGCTGTACCGCCCGACGCCCCTTCAGGCGAATCTGCAGGCACAGGACTGCCAGCACAGGCTCACTTTCTGGCCTGCTTAGGAGGAGTGCTGTCATCTTTCACTAGCCTCTGGGCTCTGCAATGAGTGGAGCCAAGGGCCTTCCTCAAGTGCACCTGGTGCCCAAGAGGATAAAACTGCCATCAGAAACTCTCTCCCCGTTTCACCTGTTCCCAGGGCCACAATTTTAAACGGGGAGCTTCCTTTCCTGTGCCAAAGATCTGAGCAGAGCCAAGAAGGCAAAACAGGGATGGATTTTTCATTATCTTTCCTGATACCTAAGTTGCCACCTCCTGTCTTCTGTGAATAGTGAAGTTAATACACTAGAAAGTAGGGTGAATAGATGTGATGTTTACTTACCTTTGAGTCTATCACAGTTCTTTGTGCAATATTAAAAAGATACTTTTAAAAAGCTGGGCATATGCTGAAGTCCCACCACTCAGGAGGCAGAGGCAGGTGAATCTCTGTGAGTTTGAGGTCAGCCTGCTCTAAATAGTAAGTTCAAGGACAGCCAGGGCTACATAGAGACTTTATCTCAAAAAAAAAAAAAAAAAAAAAAAAAAAAAAAAAAAAACCAATAAAAAGGGAAAAGGTGCAGAAAAAAAAAAAAAGCTACACCAAGTACCACTATGAAGTGTGGGTATCAGCAATGAATCAAGAGGTTCTGATCACAGCTCAGTGGCACAGCTCCTGCACAGCCGGTGCACACCAGGGTCCAGTCCCAGCACTGCAAAAATATTTTAAATAAATAAAAATAAACAGGACCTTGTCAGGGTTTAACCCAACGGGGGAAGGAGGCACAGAGTGGGCATCTTTCCAGGCTTCTGCCCAGCCCACACTGTCTCACTTCTATCTGTCCTCAGCCCACTCAGAGGAGGCCCTGGGAGGGGCTTGGCAATCACGCCTGTACCCCACACCCAAGCCCAGATTCCTCAGCCCATTGCACTCTCTCCTTTGGAAATCTGAGTTTGCACTGATAGAAGTTCACTGAGGGGCCAGATTTAGCTTTAGTCCTCCGGGGGTAAAAAGTATAAAGATACTGTCTATGCCCAGCACAGATAGTCCTGGGGCCTGTGCTCTGGTGTCTAGGACCTGTTAGGAGTGGCAGCAGCTTCAGTGTGGTGGATCTTGGAGCGGTTTCTTACTAATTAGGCCAAATATTCCCGTGGTCCTCAGTCAGTCTTGAGATGGCTTTGTCATCTGTAGTCAAAAGAGCTTTGAGGCCACGCATAGTGGTACACACTTAAAATCTTAGCACCTTGGAGGCAGAGGCAAAGAGGGTCAGGAGTTCAAGATTCTTGGCCTCACAGTGAGTCTGAGATCAGCTTGGACTGTTTTCAAAAGCCAAAACCAAACCAAAAATGAACCTTCACTAAAACACGAAAGTGAGTGAACTATGAGAGGAAGCAGAGAAAGGACAGACCTACCCCAGAGAGACTACACAGTACCTGGCCGGATGCAGAGGACATGGCAGCCCCTGGGGTCCGTGTGGGGCAGCACTGTGAGGAATCCGGAGTTAAGAACGTCTTTCAGGGCTGAGGGCCTCAGGTTGCTGAAGACCTCTGGCCAGCTCCGCCGGCAGCCATGGTAGTTGACCAGCAGCTGCAGGGCCCGGTCATAATCAAACTTCCGGGCCCGCAGGAAGCGCAGCAGGAAGGCATCGTCAAGCGATGTGCTCAGGTACGGGTACTCTTTGCGCACCATATCTCGAAGGGCCTGCACATCCCGGAGTCTCCATTCGGGCTTCTCCTGAAGTTCTTCTCTGGCTTTGGTGACCAGGTCTTCTGTTAGGGAGCACATGTAGCCGGGCCGCTCAGGCGGAGGCAGCGGCAGCTCATTTTCGGAGAGCGAGGCCACGGAGGGGCTGGTTCTCTGAGAGTCACTTTCTTCTGACATTAGCTATGCGGGTCCCTGCTGACACACAGGTCACAACACAGGTCACAAGTGAGGGTGACGAAGTGCAGACCAGGCCTTTGTGATGGCTCAACAGGTCACGTAAGCCCAATGACCGAGTCTGATCCCGAGAGCCACAGAAAGGTGAAAGGAGACAATCGACCCCGCACTCACAAATGTGCACATACATATATGTGTGCACATAATTAAGAAATGCTTACTATTAGTATTGTATTTATTTTTAACCTTTATTTTTTAGTCAGAATCTTTTTTTTTTTTTTTTAAAGTTTATTATGTATACAGTGTTCTGTCGGCATGTTTGCCTGCAAGCAAGCCAGAAGAGGGCACCAGATCTCATTACAGATGGTGGTGAGCCACCATGTGGTTGCTGGGAATTGAACTCAGGTCCTCTGGAAGAGCAAGCAACCAGTGCTCTTATCCTCTGAGCCATCTCTCCAGCTCCTTGAGTCAGAATCTTTTCCTTAAATTTATTATTTTATGTTTATTGGTGCTTTGCCTGCACTCTGTGAGGGTGTCAGAAGCCCTAGAACTGGAGTTATAGACAGGTGTGAATTGCCATATGAGTGCTGGGAATTGAACCAGGTCCTCCGGGAGAGCAGACAGTGCTCTTAACCTCTGAGCCATCTCTCCAATCCCTGTGCATGTAATATTTTAAGGTGAAGCATTGCTTGCATGGGACCCCAAGAGTGGGAAATGGGAGAGTGGGAGTTTTGGGCAAGTAACCCCAGGGAGATGGGTCCCAAGGAGGAATGGTCTTGACCTGAGTCACATACCTAAGTCAAATCCAACAGCCCAACACTATGCCTTCTGTGGAAGGGTCTACATAGAGGCTTGATCAGTCATCAAATAAACTTGAACTCAAACAACCTTGAGATTCAGATCCAGTTCAGAACTAAAACACATGTTCTCTAAAATACTGCGCTAACACACTATGGGATGAAAATCAGAGGCCAGCTGCCTGAGCTGTCCTGAGAATAAGCTGGAGCAGGACTCCCTGGCTGCAGAGCCTAAGCCTTTGTCCATGAGCAGACAGTGATCTTCCACCCCATGCACAAAAAGGAGAGCAGGGGCCACCTCAGAGTCCTTGCACATACCTGCAATGTCCTGGCTGCATTCCCTCTGGTCCATGGCAGCTAGTGACCAAGCAGGCCACTCCCTCCAAATCTTAGGATCACCCACTCCATCTCTCAAATTCCAACCTCTAGCCACACCAGTTTCCTTCACTTGCTTCCAAAGATGTCCTCATTCCATGCATATTCTGGTCCCTCTCAATAGTATGTTCTAACTCCAGCTCCTCCCAACCCACACAAATTCACCCTAAGACCTGACTGGGTGGCACACATGCATCCAACAAATATGTACCAACTTATGATGTACCAGGTTTTTCCCCCTGGCAACTGTGGATGCAGAAGCAAAGAAAAAAAAAATCCTGTCTCGTTGAGCCCAGTGGAGATGGGAGACAATTTCTAACATAATATACAGTCTACTCTTATGAAGAGGAGAAGGAGGGAGTGGCACCAGGATTGCAGTTTTAAACAGGGCAGTCAGAAAAGGCTTGCCTAGGCAACATTTCAGCAAAGATGACAGGGTAAGCCAAACACACCATAGGGTTCAGTAAGGATATTTGAAAAAAAAGCCTGGCTTTTCCAAGAAGCAAGATGCCCAGTGTAGCTATAGCTAAGGAAGTAAGAAGGGGGAAAACAGATGGGTTCAGAGGCTTTCTGGGGGCTACTGGCCAGGGCACTGTATGCCAGTGAGAACTTCAAACTTCTGTGCTGAATGAAGAGGGCAGAGAGGGTTTGGCATGATTTCTGTTTCAAAGTACCTCTCTATTGTCTCAAAAACCACACTAGGGCCTTCCAGATGGCTCACCTGCAGCTCCGGCCTGGCTACGTGGGTTCAATCCCTGGAATTAAACTTTACAAACTTTACAAAACCCATGTGACAGAAGGAGAAAAGCAATTCAAGGCTATCCTCTGACCTTCATGTATGCGTATCCATGCCATGTGTACACCACAGAAAGCTATATGAAAAGTAACTTTAGTTTAAAAAGTGGACTGGAATGAAGTGACGATATCGAAGGGTCAACAACAATCCAGGCAAAAGGGGACAGTGACATGAAGAATTCAGTCTTCACCCACTCCAGGCTGTCTGAGCTGCCTGGACATCAGCTCTGTGGACTAGGATATCCCCAATCTTGTCACATATGTAGGTAATCAGTGTGTGATATCCAGGTAATCGATTTGTAATACCGTGTAGCACCAAACAAGGTATTAGGACATATAGACCCCATGCCATAAATGCTTTATTTCAATGTGCTTCATAGAGCAAGGAATAGGATAATTCTGGCCTCACTGGATCCACCATGGGCTGTTTCCATGGCAACGACCAACAGGTAGGTGCCTGGAATCCCCACCCACTGGTGCCTACCAGAGATTGACTGTTGTGTCACAGGCTACAAGAACTAGCCTTCAAGGCCCCATCTTTTCCTCCTCCACCCCTCCCCTGCCTGGGAAGACAAGCTAATGACCCACCATTCTTGGAACTCTCACTTGTCTGATAGCCTCTGCATGAAATTTCCTCTCCATGTTTGCTGCCAACCACACAACTCAACATCTCCAAGGCCCAGTTGCAATGTCATCTACTCTGTAAAGCCTGCCCATGTCCTCAGGACCAGTCCCTCCAAGTTTCCATAGCTCTGGGCTCCTGGTGCTCCTTAGAAACTTTTGCTCAGTGTCACAGGTGTTGATATGAAACTCTTCAGAGTCAGTTCCTACCCATCCATTTATGAAAGAATCACTGACTGCCTCCTGTATGTGTCGGGCATTGTGCTGACAGATGCTAGGGACACAATGGGAAACAATAAAACCTTGCCTTGCTCAGCTCACATCCCAGTGGACTGATGGAAAGAGGTCATACACGCTTGAGGGTTTTGCTTTGAATCAAGCTCTACACTGTACACCCTTTTTCTTATTTCTTTCTGTGTCTTGCTGGGGACAGAACCCAGAGCCTTGCACATGCTAGGCATTACTCTACCACCCAACTACACGGTCAAACTCCGTATCTCATCTTCGGAACATTGAGCCAGCATATTATCATCACTGTTTGCATGTTACAAAGGAAGAAACTGACCCCCTACAGTGCGAATCCCGACAGAGCAGAGACCTTGCCTGCCAGGGTCACCACAGCCCCCAGTGCCGCCGGTTCATGACAGCACTCAGTAAACATGGGGGAAAGTATGGCAAACCCTGCCCGGTGAGGCAGAGAGAAGTGTCATGCCCCACCCTGGCCTCATCATCTCTGTCCTCCACCTGCAGCTTCCTGTTGTATCCCCAAGGGCTCAGCTCAGCAGGGGCTGTCAGTCGTGGAAACGACGTGACGGGTGGCCTTGGGGTCAGGATACAAAGCCTAGCATCCTCCCAACCTGGAGCCATCTCCCCGTGGAGCATTCCCTTTCTCCCAAAACAACCGGAGGCCGGAAACCATCTCTCTCGGAGCCCCAGAGACCTCCGCGCCCCTGACAGCGTTCCAAGGCCCCTACTTCCGGTCGTCGCCCCCTCCCCAGGTGTCCCCATTTCCTGGGGTCTCCCGCCCCTCTGGCTCACTTCCGGCAGTCTCGCCCTCTGCGGTCCCTGTCTCTGTCCCCTGGGCGCACGCACGGGCTCGCGGGCACTCACCAGCCCGGCGGCAGGCGGAGCGCGGGTCACGGCGGCAGGAGCCTCGGGCGGCAGCGCGCGCACTACCGACCCGCACTCCCGGGCCGGCCCGCCCGGCACTCGCGCCGGAAGTGACGTTCGGGCGCGCGAAGGCGGCGCCCACCGGGAGCGCGCGGGAGTGAATCGTGATGCGGCGCTGCCTTGGGTCTGTCTCCACCTGGCGGCCCTGGCTGTGTAGCCGGGTGCGTTGAGGGGAAACTGAGGCCCGGAGGAGGAAAGCAGCTGCTTCCCTGGAACATTCTGCCGTATGCCTGGTGTTCTACACCATTTTCTCGTTTAAATCGTCATGGGCTTGCAAATCCCCTACTTCCTGACAGGGAGGAGGCGGTCGGTGCTGTAACCGGCTTCAGACCCGGACCTCAGGATTGGCGTTCCAGAGCTCCTTGGTCCTCAGCTGATATCTGGACTGGCTGTCCCATGTCAGTATGCCCTCAGCTGAACCGTTTTGACCCAGTGTCCTAGCCTCCTGGTCTCAGCTCTTCATGAATAATAATACGATTCTTGCCCCAGACCCCGACGCAGTAACTACCTGTTTCCTGCTTTTGGACTCATGCGCTTGTCTCCAGACAGCAATACTTTGGAAAAGGGTTCACTAGCTCATGCCTGGCTCATTAACTACCCTCGCTACATGCATATCCATGTTTTGTGCAACTATACTTTGGGGGCAAATCTCTGAGGTTCCTCATTCAGGTACAATAGGGACAACAAACCATTTCTAGAAAAATTCTGGTGGTCCAAAAGAATGTCAGATCCAAAGGAATGACCTTAAGGCACCTCTTCTTTTCCCTACCTTAGGGATAAGAGGAGTCTTAGGGCTGTGGGAAGGGCCCAGAGGATGTAAGGACATAGAGGCTTTGCCAGATGCCAGACTGCATGTGTGGGAGAATTGTGAAGTGGCCTAGGAATCCTGAGCTGTGTTTATCTGTTTGTTTGTTTGTTTGTTTGTTTGTTTTTAATGTAGGGTGTCATCATCTAGACCAGGCTGGCCCCCCTACTCATGATCCTTGTGCCTTTATCTCCCGAGTGCTGGGCATGTAAATGAGTACCAATCACCCCAGGCTGCAAGCCATGAGACTTGTGATCCTAGGTTCTCTCCAATCCCCAACATTCTAGGTTGCCAAATAAAATATAGAACACTCAGTTAAATTTGAATTTCAGATAAACAGAAGTCTATTTTTAAAACAAAGTGTTGCCTTATGTAACATATGGGGCACACCCATACTTTAGAAACTGTTGTTGCTCAGAAAGAAACTCAGTTGTGAATAGGTGTGCTGTTGCTCCCCTTACCCCAAATCTAACTGTTAGTTTCATGTTCCTCCTATAGCAAATCACTCCATAGTGACTTGAAACGACACAAATGTATTTTCCAGCCTTGCTAAAGATACCAGGGAGCTGGAGATGCTGCATTTTCTCTGGGTTCTTCTTGTCTTTTTCAGCTTGTCCATGGCCTTCCACACACACACACATCACTGCATCATCTAGTTTCTGTTCTCACAGCTATAACTGACTCCTGGTTCCTTCATGAGTGTGTGTGTGTGTGTGTGTTAGAGAGAAGGGGGGTTTCAAACTCAGAGCATTGTTTGTGCTAGCCAAGCGCTCTACTACTGAACTACATCAGTAGTAGTGGTATTTGTTTGTTTGTTTGTTTGAGGTAGCCCAGCCTACCCTGGAACTTGCTTTAGTCTAAGCTGACCTCAAGCTCACAGTCTAACTGTGCCAGCTTTGCAAGTGCTAGGATTACAAGTGTGTGTGCTCATGTCTCTTTTGTCAGCCCTATTCAGATATTTGAGAAATATAGGCAATGTGGTGCTTGTGCTTTTAGTTTCAGCATTCAGGAGGCAGAGGCAGGAGGATCTCTGTGAGTTCAAGGCCAGTCTGGTCTACATAGTAAGTCCTTGGCTGGCCAGTGCCACAAAAATAAAACCTTGTCTCAAATTTTTGTTTTGTTTTTGAGATAGTTACTCAGATTGTTCGTGAATTTCCAATACTCCTGCCTCAACCTCCTGAGTAAGACTATAGCTAAGACTATTTCACCATCACGCTCATCCTCCTGTCTCCCACTTAGATTATTTCACCATCCTACCTGTCCTCCTGCCTCCCATTTAGAACTTTTGCAATTACATTGGGCCTACTTGTTATTCCAGAATTATCTTCATACCTCAAGAATCTTAATAATGGGCTGGAGAAGAGATGGCTCACAGGTTAAGAGCATTGGCTACTCTTCAGTATTCCATAGGTCCGAAGTTCAATTCCCACAGCAACCTCATGGTGGCTCACAACCTGCCATGAGATCTGGTGCCCTCTTCTGGCCTGCAGGCAGAACACTACCGTGTAAATACTTTTTTTTTTTTTTTTTTTTTTGGTTTTTCAAGACAGGGTTTCTCTGTGTAACAGCACTAGCTGTCCTGAAACTAGCTCCGTAGACCATGCTGGCCTGGAACTCACAGAGATCTACCTGCCTCTGCCTCCTGAGTGCTGGGATTAAAGGCGTGCACCACCACTGTCTGGAATAAATAAATCTTAAAAAAAAAAAGAACCTTAATCACATCTATAACATCTCTTCTACCCCATAAAATACTCATGAATTCCAGAGGCTACAATGAGGACATCTCAGAGGGCAGGACATGATTCAGCCACCCAAATCTGGTATTTTTTTTTTTGTTAAGATTTATTTATTATGTATAGTATTCTACCTCCATGTGTGCCTGCAGGCCAGAAGAAGGCACCAAATCTCATTGTAGATGATCATGAGCCACCATGTGGTTGCTGGGGATTGAACTCAGGACCTTTAGAAGAGCAGCCAGTGGTTTTAACCTCTAAGCCATCTCTCCAGCTCCAAATCTGGTCATCTTATATGACCTTGGCCAAACCATTCAAATTCTCAGAGCATCTAGATAGATCCTTGTGATGGTGAGTGTTAATTGTCAACTTAACAGACTCTAGAACCACCAGCATGTCTGTATAGCATGACCTTAATCGTGTTCATTGAAGCAGGAAGACTGCTTGGGACTATTCCCTGGTTTAAGAAAGGAAGGTTCCACAGGCGGTGGTGGCGCACGCCTTTAATCCCAGCATTCAGGAGGCAGGCAGATCTCTGTGAGTTTGAGGCCAGCCTGGCCTACAGAGTGAGTTCCAGATCAGGCTCCAAAGCTACACAGAGAAACCTGCCTCGAAAAACCTGCCTGAAAAAACAAGGAGGGTTTAAAAAAAAAAAAAAGGAAAAAAGAAAGGAAGAGTTTGTTCTGGTTTTGTGGGAGTATTTATCATGACAGCAGAGAAGTAACTAACAGTCATCCTAAGCAAATAAATAAACAAAATAAAATTTTAAAAAGGACAATTAAATGACTCCTCGGACAAAAATAATAAACTTTGCTCAAACTGAACAAATAGATGGTCGATTTCTAGCAAAGCTTTTAACCTTGCTGTCCTAGGTGTTGAGATTAAACCTCTCTTTAACCAGGCCTTCTGCTGGGAGCACAGACTGCAGTTGTAGAGGCTGACAGCAGGGAGAGATAATCTTGGTGCATGGGGGGCATTCCTTACTCCCAGTGAGCAGTTGGAGTTGGAAGAAGGGTCTCAGATAAACAAGACAAGAGCAAGAGTTTCTTTGTGTAGAGCAGCTGTATACAGTGAGGCACTGGGTTCCTGCCATCTGATTTATGCCTTATAGTAATCCAGTGGACAGCAACAGACCAGATGGTCTCTACAGAACAGGACATTCTACTTCAGAAATCAATCTAAGATGAGCTGGATTTGAATTCAAGTTTATGGCGGGACAGCCCCAGCTTTCACTTTGTCCTAGAGATCACTCACAATCTGACTCTTTGGCTTCAGAGGTTGGAGAACAGGCTCAGATCAAGGAAGAACAAGACAGTGCCCATGATTACAAGACAATTAAGAGGTTGAGCAGAGGCATGAACTTCTGTATCCTTTTCTGTCTTGGACACTCAGAAGTAACAGATCTGGAATATCACATTGAAAAGACCCATTTCCAGGGGAGGGAGCTAGGAGAATGAGAAGGGGAGAAGAGGAGGGGTGCGGAGGACATGAGGGAGCAGAAAGGTTGAGTCAGGGGAAGAATAGAAGAAAACAATAAAGGAGATACCATAGTAGAGGGAGACATTTTAGGTTTACAGAGAAATCAGGCACTAGGGAAATGTCTGGAGATCTACAAAGATGGTACCAGCTAACAATCTAAGCAACAGAGGAGAGGCTACCTTAAATGCTCTCCCCTGATAATGAGATTGATGACTGACTTATATGCCACCCGATAGCCCTCATCCAGCAGCTGATGGAAATAGAAGCAGACACCCACAACTTATCACTGAACTGAACTGGAATCCAGTTGCAGAGAAGGACGAGTAATGAGCAAAGGTGTCCAGACCAGGCTGGTGAAACCCACTGAAACAGCTGACCTGGACATTGGGGAACTCTTGCTCCCCAGACTGATAGCTGGGACACCAGCATGGGACTGATCCAGACCCCAGGAACATGGGTTTCAGTGAGGAAACCTCAGAAATCTATGGGACCTCCTGTAGTAGTTCAGTACTTATCCCTAGCATAGGTGTGGACTTTAGGGGCCCATTCCACATAGAGGGATACTCCCTGAGCCAAGACACACGGGGGTGGGCCTAGGCCCTATCCCAAAGGATACGATAGACTCTGATGACACCCTATGGAAGGCCTCACCATCCAGGGGGAGCAGAAAAGATGTGTGATAGGTAGGGTTTCAGTTGGGGGGGGCTGGTAGGGGAGGACGGGAGGGAGAACTGGGATTGTCATGTAAAACAATCTTGTTTCTAATTCAAATAAAAAAAAAAGAAAGAAAAGACCCATTTCCATGTGTGTAAAGGAGGGCTGTGAGCCTTGTGTAGGGGCCCCTTGGGAACCTCCAAGGAATGGCGTGTGCAGAGATCTGGCACACTGTGACTTGGAATGTCTGTTAGCTATGACCACTCACTCCAGAGCAGAAAGGTCACCAAAGAGCAGCTTATCCTGCATCTTAGCTTAGAAGGCAGCAAACAGC